GTGCCCCCCCCCCGTTTGAAATGGGCATTTACGTCCATTTATGTAGGTAGGCATTTAGACAGGCACCTAGTCATGCTAGTTCAATTATTTTCTGTGCCCCCCTGAAAAAATTGTGTACCCCAGATGCCCCCTCAGCCTAGACTAGTTACCTCACTGGTCTCACATTCAACATGGTCTTTTCCTTTCTCCATTAGTATCAAAATAAAAGCAAAATTCATTGTACTTACTCCATCAATGTCATCAAGTAGGTGTGCCAGCGATTCCTCAAACACGAAGTTGCAAAAATAAACGGATTAAAGCGACCACCATGCGCTCAGTATGAATACCGTCATTCAGCATACACGTGCGCCACCGCACCACTACCAAGAAACGTACAACGCGTTGGCCAATCACGATGCGTTAACTCTGTCGACCCAGTGCGCGTTTGGAAGGTTGCACTACACAAAGTACGCGCCCATAGAAAACAGTGCAAAACCGGACCGAAATAGCGCCGCCTGTTGACTCTTGAGAAGAGGTAGCCCTCCTTGTTTTTTCACTAGAAATTCACGATTATGGACAGAAGATCACTTTTCATTTCAATTTCATGGGGGTTAGCCACGAATTTGTTTCGCCTTTCAAGGAAGATACCTCCGAATAGCAGTGAAACTAAGTTCCCATGTAGCCGCCCAGCTCTATATTCAAATAGGCCCGCAATTTGGAACTTTTTGTGAAAGAAATACCCCGAACTGCAAACTGTCAGTCCCAAATTTGGCATTTATAGAAATATTTCTATGATCCCTCCTGATTATGGCCTGTCTTATTGGAAAAATCCCGTGGGATCACATGCACCCGGAAATGAGTGACAAATTTCGCGCGTTGTGATTGGCCAACGAGTTGCAGACTCTTGGGGGCGCACTTTTGTGAATCGCCCGTGTTTTTGTTCTGTGTTTTCGATACCGCGACAGTTTACTTAGTGACGTCATGCACGAAGTGCCACCCGTCAATTAAAGTTGACCCCTGATGGCGCGCTTCTGGCCGGAACCTTGATAGGAAAAATGACGTGTAGAGATTTGAGAATTTGTAATATTTTTTTCGTTCAGTCACTTCTTTAAAATCCACGCAACTCAGAAAAGGGGCTTTGGAAAATATTTGCTCGTAGGTACGGTTACCAACTGAAAAATCACGTGACCTAAAGGAGAAATATCCTGCCAAAAACTGACCCGTCACTGTCCGAAAATCTAAGATGCATGAAGAACAGTGCGGTGCGGCGGTCTTGTACGCAAATGAACATTTACAGTCTGAAAGTTTATGGAAGTACGTCAGTAAAAGCCAAAGTAAAAGCAGACCACATACTTCTAAAAGACGGTAATAAACTCAAGTAATATTCTACTTTTACGAAAGATTCTAATACCAAGCTTTGCTGATAACTGCGTCATGTCAGCTAACCATGCAGGAACAAGGAGACCTAGTTTCACCAGACGTGAAATTCGTTTTTTTACCCATCTCCAGGTGACTTTTCCTAAACATTACCTAAGGAAGACAAAGGTAAAATTCCAACATGAGTGTTTCATGGGGTGGTTTGAGTTAGGAATTAATTCCAAGAATTTTCGAGCGTGATAAGACAGCCGACAGACCGCGCGAGAATTGCAGAAGGTTGGTTCTTGACTTTACTTTTCAGCTCTCAGTGGTGACACTCAATTTCGCGAGCGAAGGTTCGTCCTTGAGAGCACCCACTCACGCAAAATGCTTATAGCGTACAAATGTACATGTACACGTATATATGGTTGCGCAGTCACTTTCATTCGGTGTGTTCTTTTGATGACATTCAACAGGATGGCAGCGGCATCTGACGCTTTTCAGTTCATCGCAAGTTTTAACTAAGGTACAATTGAACAAGCGTTAGACACCCGGCGTTTTCACTGAACCTGAGCAAAAAGAGTTTTTTACTTCAAAGTTACAAGAACTGTCTGGTGTGCTGGAATGCCTAAAAGGGGTCTTAAGCGAAAAGCACGTCGGTCTGATAAATCAGTTTTCGAACAAGAAATAGTATTATTCCTCAGTTAAAGTCAAAATCGAGCGAATACGAAGAACTGGAGGACACGCAGAGCTACACATGGAAAGTGCCTATGCATGGATTTAAACCGGATACTAGAAACATTCCACTCTCTGAAATAAAAGCGGAACTTGTTAATGTATGTGAAAAGGAAGCAGTTGTTCAAGATCTCAATTTAATAGTCAAGTTCAGCCGTGGGTGGTTATACCTGAAAGCAAGAAAACACCACCATTGGAGAACTACAAGGCGTGGTATTTTGAAGAACTGTCCGTCCAATACATCACTGCAACTCGATCCATGGCATTTGCTTATCTCATTAAAAAGTTCCCACGTCTTCTTGTGTGCGGGTTGTCATTCACACAGCTCCTCAAACACAGAGCTCGACTAACTCAGTTTCTCAAAGTGGACAATTGCGAACACAGGTTGTCAAGGCCGATCACAGTCTGTGCACAGGAAGATGTTTATGAGTTGTCTCCAGCAAACGCTAATACCGTTGCGATTCCAGCCTGAGAGATAGCCGAATGGGATCCCGATGACTTCGTATTCATGGACGGAAGAAGTCCACAGGCTACCGTACTCGCAGCAGCAGACCTCTAGTCACCATGTACATTTGCAACACACACAGATTGATAAATGGCTTCAACCTTTGTGTATAACAATGGAAATAAGACATTGATTGTGAATAATGTATCGCCACAGTCTGTGTTTCAACGAAAACCCCAAATATGTAGAACAACCTCCGAGTGATGCTTCTTGCGTGGCTCTGTGACCCACACATCTCCATGGATACCGAATACCAGCGGAGGGGGGGGCAAGTTTTATTAATACCAAAACCCTAAGAAAAAACATCACGCAATAAAAGCAAAGATGTCGGGACTTTAACTTAACACGGACATTTTGGAGAAATCCTGTCCCCCTGAGAAGCTTTTGGGTCAAATAAGAACACTCAAGTTGCATTTCTTCAAGGAAGGGTTGTTAGTGACATGGGCTTCGAATGAAGTGATTTTCCTTTTTCGGAAATGCTGTGATTTAATGGACATGTTCTAAATCTAAGTCGTACTTTTATTTCCCATAGTGGTACAAGAAAGCCTCTGTGTGAAGGTCTTATTGACAGGAACTGAAACCTACTGTTCTTGTATTTGAAGACCTTAGTAAATTGTATCTCCCGTGACTGGTTTTGTGATAAACACAGGAAGGGTGATGAGATTACAACTGTTTTAATAAACTTAATATGTCTGTAAATATTCTTAAGGATACTTACATAACTGGTATACTTATTAATAACATAATGATTGATAAGTTCACTTAGGAAAAGCAGAATGTTTTTGAAATAGTGCTTCAAATATGAATTTAGAGCATGTACAATTTCAGTTACTTAAAAGAAGAAAAACCCTCTTCTTTTCTTTCCTTGCCTTTTTGAAGTATATTTCTTTGTCCCTATTTTTGCTTGTCTTAAAAAGATATTTGTTCACTTTCGTAAAACGTCCACGTAACAGTCTCAATGGGAGGCGCAAAGGTCGCAGGAAAAAATCAGTTATTCTTTCCTTTCTTGTTGGTTGCAATGTGTATTTTTCAATTAACTTCATAAAGGAATATTTGACTCGTTCTAGGTGCATGGAAACGTAACGAAGTTGGACGAGTACTGTTTTCGTTGTTGTAAAGGAACTTTGTATTGACGTTCTTTTTAATTTTTCAGCCTTGCTGTCGTGTTACTTTTGCAATTTAATTTGAAGGTCAATTGTGTACAGTTTAATAAAATAGGTAACAGAATAACTTGAAACAGCTTAGACTAATGTAACCTACAGTTATGAAAATTCTTGGCACGCTGTGTTAAATTGTGAAATCGAGTGGTGAATGACTTAAGTGCGTTTTCCCAACATCAGCTGACGAATTTGAACATCCCAGAATTGGAATGAAAATCTGTTAGTAGTTAAGACACCTGCAGCACTTGCCCAAGCCCTCATTACTGAACATCATCGCCCAATGATTATGAGTATAGTATTATGTAAATAACGAATGTTGAGTGTAGAAGTAAGAACTATGTCTTGAGTTGATATGTCAAATGAAATATTCCCGTACAGTGCATTATATTTATTAAGTGTGATGATAAATGGAAAGCAACCTGTGGCAAAGTACGGTGTTGAAGCTCAAAACAAAAAGCTTGCACAGATGGTTTGATTCCCCAAATATACTTTCATTTGACAAACTAAAATTAATTACTGATTTAAAGGTGTGACGTCATCAGTTCTAAGGCAACTTTGTTACCTTAATTTGGTTTCGTCGTTTCAAATTTTGGTAGATTTAAGTTACTACCACTTTAGTTTCTAAGTAATTATCATTACATCTGATCTACCTTTGAATTCAAATCCTTTCGCCTTAGTTAATTCGATTCCTTACTCTAATGTAAGTTTGATCACTAAAACGTGATTTTCATTTAAAGACAATGCAAAATGGGGAACATGTCAAATACACAGGAAATTTGTTCGAATGAAACTCACGCAGCAAAACAAATTGTGTTGCAAAATTAAACAACTCAGATTATCTTCATTTGTCGGTTTACACAAGGAAGCTCCAAATGGGAATTTCGTATTCAGAAAATCCGCAGCCTTGTATTATGAACGCAAATAATGAGTTTTCTTCAGCACAAAACCAATTTTAGTTATATGACTTATTTTCCATTCCGTTGGTTGTACTACATGTCATATGAAAAATATGAAGTAAAAGGGACACAGGCGACGTTGGCCTTCGCATAATGAAGTCCTCAAAGATGTCCAAAAATCGTTCGCCCCAAAACGCTTAGGCAAGAACACACTACCCGTACTCAGGCCTATTTTATCGACATAAGTATTATAGATAGCCATCTTCTGGTGAAACTTATGTAGAACCAACATTCTACGCAAAAGTTAATGATTAACCATACTGCGGTTAATATTATTAGACTACGTAAACATCAAATTCCGCGGTAAATGCGTGCAGCCATGATAGGGCAAATGCTCTACTGTCGTTGCAATGAATATTCCCTAAATGCAACTACATCAGGATACACCATGGAGGAAGGAATAGTCGTGTAGATGCTCAATTATATTCACAGCAAGAACTACTCGGAGATCGCTAGATATCGACGAGATTTCTAAAGTATCTTGGCTATTCATTGTAAGCCGCGATTTTGGGGTGTTTAATGATCTATCATATAACGACTGCAACATCTTGGACACTAAAAGGTTCCGTGAGCAAAGATGGATGAAATTGGGATAACCTCATGGTCAAGCATATTCTAACTGTGCCTATCTCAGCAGCAGCATGAACGGTGAACCCAGGATGCGTCAACTCAAGAGAATCAGACAGCTATTTGTGTTATGTGTGATAATGATTGCTGTGTATGTAGTGACTTTTGGAATCGACACGGCTATCGATTGCTACCAGTTTTGTCAAGGGTAAGAATTTTAATTGATTAATTTGAGGATCCTCAAAATACAGTGTCTGTGCCATGCCCTGTGAGGTTTACTCCCCCATGCTCATAAGGCAACATTGGCGGACCCGGAGGGGCCAACGTGAGCCATGTCCCCCCCCCCACAAAAAAAAAACTTCGGAGAAATAATGAAAGGCGTGACATGTATTTAGGAGGGGTTTCTTTTTCCCCTTCCTTCCAACAACCTGTAAAAAGCCCCGAATTGAAGCCTAAGCCTCAGACAAGCTGTGACTGTTGCAAAAAAGTCCAACTTTCCACCCTCCCCCCCCAAAAAAAGATTGCCTCCACCTCTAAAAACTCTAGCTCTGGATCAACCCATGTAAGTCCTCAAGTAAAGCATGTATGATTAATAAGGCCATAATCTGCCCATTTAGTGCTTTGGATTCATGAGATCTTACAAGGCATGTGCTGTTTCCATTGCAAAAAGTTGAATTTTCCTCATTTTTATGTATCTTCAGTCCCTTTTTTAGGGTGAATACTAAAAAATACATCTTCAAAACTTAATTGTTGATTGTTTAGTATTACAAAGCTGTGAGCCTACCAAGCTTTGTGAGCACGTTTTTAATCATAAGACTAAGAATTCCTTCACGAGTAATCTCCCCCTTGGCAGTTTCCCCTTTCTCTCAAATCTTTGAGCGTCTCTGGGAGAATTCAAAGCCCAATGGGTCTGAAATGACACATACTGTACAACATGTAACCGAATAGCAATATGAGTCAACTGGAAGCAGGGATGGAAACAGTGGATAGTCTTAACAATCTTTGAAGAATTGTCGAGCTGTAATGATGCTGTAAGGACAAATTTCAGCACAGATGACCACAACTCACTCATTCAGCAGTTTGTTCTCCCTGGAACAGTTCTTGGGGTGCTTATGTAACTGAATCCTCTTATTGCTTTTCCATAAGCTCCCAAAACACTGTCATGCTACCCCTTTCCCCTCAGATATCAAGACTTCAGCTTCCTAAAAGAATTGACATAATGTTTGCCATTCACCTATTTTCTTTCCTTTCTCCAGAAAGACATGCTTTAGTTCTCGGCTGACGATACTTGTTTACCGGGACAATGTCAGTCCAAAGGAAATGGACTTTCTACAGAACTTCCGTCTTAACGTTGGCTACTATAAATATGCTACTGACCACTTGTCAGGGCGATATGATCCAGAATCGTGCTCCATGGAGGAATACTTCTCTCAGTTTACGACTATCCCGGCATATAACAACTGTGCAATTGTGGGCAACAGTGGGATTCTACTCCACAGCAATTGCGGGAATGAAATCAACTCTTATGACTACGTGATCCGCGTCAACTTGCCAGCCATCCAAGGCTATGAGGAGGATGTGGGCTTCAAAACAAACCTGACGCTTTTGAACTTTGAGACGCTCGTGTACCTCCACAGCAACCTGACCCAGAAGGAACTTGGGGACGAGTTCCACGACATGTACGTGAAGAGGGTCCTGTTCCTGAACGATTCCGTGCTGTGGTATGGGAAATCCATGGGTCCTCGAGAGACCAGGAAGCGGCTACAGCAATCGGTGGAAATCCTGAAGGGGACCTACAAACTGCCAGTTCGGATTGGCTTCAACTGGAGACCACTGCACCCAGAGAAGTACGACCAATAACTTACGACCATGTCACACAAGGCAATTCTCACAGTAAACTTGGAGACAACTGAATGTGCTGCTGGCTAATTTCACTCCGAACACAGCACATGTCTCTGTCACCTCAAAACGAAACCATAGGAAATGAAGTTTGCCTTCCACTTACATTTTGGAGATGTTGAAAAGAGCTGCTGATTCATTGCCTTGTGCGGCATGACTCTTGCACATCCAGCAACTTTATACAAAGCTAACAGTAATTTAAGTCTGTTAAAACAAATGCCTCTTGATATTTATTCATACACAAGCACTGTAGAAGGTAAAACCAACATGAAATATTTTACATAAGGAACATGATGCTGCTTGAAAGTTAACTACATGTTCAAAGAGAGTGCTGTCAATTTCCTACAACGAGGATGACTTTGGAAAATTCTAGAAGGCTGAAGCTAAGATTCAATATGTGACAAAATTTTGGAGAGGTAGTTCTGCCAATAATCCAATATCAAGGAATTATATCAAAAGAACTTCTATAATTGCATTCATTATGGCTAAATACTGCGCACTTGAAACAAATGCTCTTCATGTCCTTGATTAAAATATCATTGACATGGTTTTATTTTTGTCTTCAATACAGATTTGTGGGCATGAAACGCCTTGCTACATCTGGCTTCATGGCATATTACGCAGCCAAGTCGTTCTGTAGTCACGTCACACTCTATGGTTTCTATCCATCCAGCAAGGATGCACGTGGGTTCCACTTGCCACACCATTATTATGAAGACGTCCCTTATGAATACAGCAACCCCATCCATGACCTCCTCTGGGAGTTCCAGAAATACCGGGAATACGCATCGGAGGGAAAGCTTCACCTGGTGACGGAGAAGTGCGCAGACAGCACAGACAGGGACGAGACAAGATGGGCAAATCAGGACCGGGAGAAACCCATAGGGGATTTGATATGGTTCAAACAGAGGAAGCCATGATGGTCAGGACTTTCTCGACACAAAGAGGCCAGGACCAAGACACACATTGACAGCTATAAAACACTCGATGAAATCAACATGAAAGCAATAATCTATTTGACTTTTCCCTTGCTCCCTTTATACACTCATTTTAGAAAAAAATTAATTTGTTAAAGATGAAAGAAGAATTGTGCACATTCTGATCGATTTTAGAACTCGGGCAGTGTCAGTGTCAAGTCGAGACCCATAGTCACAAGCTATTCAAATGGAGCGCAACAAAAGCAATCCTTTTTCACTATTGATCTTTTTACTTGCAACTGGGCTCAGGCCTGGTCTTGCGATAGGGCTTATGTCTGATCTTGTGATGGCAACCTCCAACAGTTACAGCCTTCAAAGCAGATAAAGCCTTCAAAGACCAGTTATTTTGTACACAAAATTTCACAGGGCTGCTGAGCAAATAATTTACGTGACCAGCCGCAAAATCATCTGACTGGTTCCCACTTTTGCAAAGCATTTTCACTTACCAAGCATTTATTCCCATGAAACTGGGCCCTACTACTGACACAAGACTTTCACTGCTACCACGGGGCTTCCTGGTATGATTCAAAACTTTGCTCTATCCATGGCATCCATGCACAAGCACCCTCTCACTGGTGACTGATAGTCTAGGCTGTCAAGGTGTGTGCACAGCCCCTATGCAAAGGCCACAAGAGGATTTGAGCATTTTATTGTGAAATTCGTACACATATAGGTATTCCACACAATATACGTGCAAGCCAGGGCAGGTATGAGGCTTGTTGACCCTAAGGAACACAGCTGCTAGGTTGCATGGAACCTACCCTCCTCCAAGCAATGAGTGTGTAGGATTCCAATTCCCTTAAACAGTCAGCGAGTATACATAATCCTTGCTTTGCTACACCCCCCACAAAAAAAAACCATTGTAAATTTTGCATGTAAATGCAACAGTCTGTAACAGAGCAAGGCTTAAGGCCAGTATCTGTGCTGTATCAACGATGGATGTCTCAGGCATGGTTGCAACCAAACATGGGCCCAGTGACTACCAGTGTTTTTCCTGAACCAGTCACATGTTTGACTGCTCTGAGCTGGGGCTGTGTAAGAGACTGGACTTCCTCCCCATCGCAAGGCTGGCGTCCCCCTAACGCCTCCTGGCTTTCTTGGTGTTGCCGCCTTTCTTCCTCTTGGTGGTCTTGGGTAAAGCTTTCTTGGAGGTTTTGGTCTTCTTGCCCGTTTTCCCCTTCCGCCTCTCCCCCTTGCCAGCTTGTTGAGGTGCCTGGCTTTCTTTTATCTCTTTGTTCATAGCCTGTGAAACAGAGCAATGTGAACCAACTGTTATACACCTATCAAGGCTTACAATTTCTGCCAAGAATCTAATGGGCAACAGTCCCCTGTGGGTGCAGAAGCCACAGGGAAAATGACAACCAGCTTTTTGCCCAACGACACCCATTTACCACTTCTGTGGTTGAGACCTTCCAGTGAAAATTTTTTGAAATGCATTAATTTTTCAGTGTCAAAATGAGTCCAATAATCAGTCCAGGGAGTGTGATTATGTTTGACAAATGCTGTACATAGTTTTGATTAAACTTAAAGTTGAGTTACTTCTTAAGGTTGACGAAACAATAAAGGTATTGCTGGCAGTCACACACGACTTGCATAAGGCCTGACCCACTGCGTTGCAAATAAAAAGTGGTATTCATAAAAGGTACAGTATTTTTCACATACTTTTTCCTTGGAGAAGGGACCGAATGGAATGTTTGCAGAGTGATACAATTCATTGAGCAAAAGGAGTTAGAAGTTGGGAAATACAATTTCTTGCATATGAGCTAAAATACATGCAGTGTCATGAACAAATCAAATCTTTTTTTTTACACATAATCAAAATTTTTGTTTCACACGGCAACTTTTTTTTATTCAGATGGGACATGATTAGAAAACACCTAATATTTTTAATATAACCACTTCAATTAGGCACGCGGGTTTCATTCAATTGCATGATTAACTGATCGAAGATGATGATTAACTGGAAGAAGATGAATACTTTTGGAACATGATGGAGTTCAAACAGTCACCGTTCAGTAGCAGTCTGGTACTCACCTTAGTCACATCAAGTTTTGGCTTCTTTCTATTCATGCTGTCCAGAATTGCCAATTCTCGGTTGCGTTCTCTCCCAATATCACCAAACAGGGGCTCAAACTGTCAACACAAGTACAATGTCAGGTTTTTAGCTGAACTCTTGTGTCTGAAAGCTTCTTAAAAGCAATTCCAAGGATGAGATTGAAAGAAAACAAAACTACTCATCAAAAAATCACCAGAGGTTTCAAGGGGCCACAGCACAGGATCTATGTAAATGCATACATTTGTTTAGAGGCTAAAGGGCACTTCATAAAATACCCACTTCTTGTGTTCTGAGCCAATTTTGTACGTAAAAACACTTTAATGGTAAGCTACAAGTTTTTAAGACGTTCAAAGAGATTGAGAAATGGTTAAACCAGGAAAGTCCTACTGAAAAGATCCTAACATCAAGAAAAATCCTGACAAATCTCACCCATGCAATTCAAATACTTCCACACACAAGTGAAAAAGTCTGGTACATTTCGAAGTTTGTTCATCCTGCTGTCTGCATAGCAATGTCATTTTTGGCCATTGTCATGTGTGTATGCCTGTCTGTGAGTTTGTAACCAACATGAAGATTATGGTGCTGAGGTTCTTGAGCAGAACACATCGTTACAATTTACCTCAGTCGGGCTTGTGTATGACATAATGCTATAATGGGCAGCAGATGCATGCTAAGAAGTTGAGGACTCCAGGATTGCCTCTTCATCAATGACTAAGTTTAAGGAAATCACATTGTTACTGTGTTCGCTGATGTTCGGACGCAGGACTTCGATCCAATATAAAATGCACAATCAGGTTCAGCCCTAGATGAACTGAACAATAATACAACCACTGGTATTTTACAAATATGTATTTGGTCAGTACATGTAATCCTGAAACATACCTTTCGCTTCTTGCCCATTTGCTTTGTTATCGGTTCCTTTGGCTGTGGATTGAAGAAAATAACAATTTTGAGTGATAAACCATTATAAACAAAAAATCTACTGTTTGAAAAATTGTAAGACTAAATCCAGCTCTCACTTGGCAAACATAAGGTTCTTACAGGAAGCAATTTGTGAACACCTCGGCCTTTTTTCCAAATATCATCTTTATCTAAGTCACCAGTTTCATCTCCAAAATGCATAGCTGCTTCATACATGAAGTGCTTGAACCAAATGAACATACTCCAAATGTTTGCCTCAAATTACACAGATTGATGTTTATGAGGCAACTATGGAGCAGCAGCTGCACTGAGCATGATGTGTCTCAAGCCAGGGGATTGCATTCATCAAAAAAACCAAACCTGAAGCCCAAATCAGAGACAGAGATGAAGCTGAAGCTTGGATAAACCATCAAGGGTCAATTTTAACAGAGACTTTCACTTTAAGGAGGTTAGCAGAGAATTTTGCTTTGCGCAAGTTATGTACTGAGACCATCTGAGCACCAGCAAGAAGTCATATAGACTGCAGTCTGATTGATAAGCTGTTTTGCTAAGCAGATATCTCCGGTTTAGCAAGGTCCTGTTCATAGTTCCCTGACGATGGACCCGGGCACTCCCATACTTGGTTGTACATGTACATGCATTTGTACAGCTTGGAGCATTGGGTAAAATGCAAGCATAAAAACTGACTCTGTGGCCTTCATGGCTGTATGTTACACTTTCCCAGTGACTCACCAATTTCTGTTCAAATTTCCCAATGGAAGCAGTGGAGTGCTTAGCTGCATGGATGGCCAAGTTGACCTCTGCCTTGTTGGATAGAGCCTTGGGCTTCACACCGGGGCCAGGGACTGAAGTAAAAAGCCCGATTTGAGAACCAGATTAATCAATCAACCAAAATTTCTTGTCAAAATGAGGAAGAGGGCATTTGACTCCAGGCATGCATGGTGGCACTGTGCCCACTTTTAGACACAAACATGTATCTGAATATAAGGCCCAGATGATTTACTCTATTAATAATAACTCAATTGATTGAAACATTGATTATTTTGTTGTTCTCTTTCCTATTTGATGGAACAACCACTTGGGAGCCTACACTGTAAAGATAACTCTACAAGCATCTACGTGTAATTCCATTTGATGATTTCACACCCTATGAGAAAAATAGCGAGCAAAAAAGCCATCTGTTCAATTAATCAATGTCACAATTAAAAGGGAACAATTGATTGATCTTAAACTTCAACAAATCTTAAACTTAGCGTAGTTTTCCGTCCTTATGGCTATCGCACTTTGCAGTGACATGCAATGAAGGCTGGAACAGCCTACTGTCCAAAAGCCTCTTGAAAAATAAGGGACAATATTGACAGAGTTTAACCCCTCTTCACTCGGCATCTTCGCTAGAAAAGAATTCTTTAGTCCTGCAAAAGCTCCCGGTGGATTTTAAAGAATCAAGAAAGGTTAAGTTGAAGGTACTTTGGTTGAGATCAATATGTAATGCTATAAACAACTGGGAAGCTACATTCTAACTGGCTTTCTTAATTGGATCACCGAATGACATCTGCTTTTAATTAGGGATTTTTCACTGATTGGATAATTGACAAGAATGGAAGGGAAACTTACTAGGTACGCTTGTAACCAATTTTCCCTTAAACACTACACTACTTAAAGACAACTAACTGCAACTGGTTTTTACCGTCCTTACGTCACCTTGTTCATTATTAAAACCCTCTTTGATGTACAAACTTGCTTTTAAGTTTCTGTGCCCTGGCAATATTCCGCAGTCGTTGATAGTCATTCTTGGCCACCCTTTCTCGTTTCTCCTTTTTCCTCTTAGCGAACTGGTCTTCATAGGGATCTGCATTTCAAACAAAAAAGGTCCACATTTCAACGATACGTTTTGTTTCTTCAAAAAAAGTTACTTTTCTTTTTTATATGGCCTGCAGTGGAGGCAAGTATTCTCTTGGCAGGCAAATTTTAGTTCCATGACTTGGCTTGGGTTGGAGTTCTAGGCAGTGATTCCAATCACTGGGGCTGAGTCAGAGCTTTAGTCCAGAACTCAAGTCACTTTGTTTGAGCCTGAGTGTTAGTCTGTGACGCAAGTCAGTTGGGTCAAGTTTGAATCCTACTCTACAACTCAGATCCCATTAAGTCTGAGTCCACATTTGAGATTCAAGTTATTTTGGTCGAGTCCAAGTCTTCATTCAAGGCACGAGTGATTTTAGTTGAGTACAAATCCTGCTCTGAGACATGGGTCACTTGGGTTGATTCGAGGACCTAATTTGAGCTTCACATCACTTTGGTTGAGTCTGAGTCCTAGTCTGGGACCCAAGGCACTTGTGCTGGGTCAGAGTATGATTCTGGACTCAGACATTTAGGGTCCAGTCCGTGAAGTCCATTTCAAAGTTCAAAACTCATCCTTCAATCAACCAGCCGAAGCTTCATCAAAAAGCTTGGCGACTACAACTTGAGGAAAGTTAGGGACAAGTTTAATGGACACTGCAACACTGCATGGACACATACCAGCATTGTCTGGTACCTCCAACACCCAATCCTTCTTATCGTCATTCTTGCTGCCGTAACCCCAGCGAGGCACCCATTTCTGTCAAGGGAAACAGACAGGTACAAAATCTCAACTCATCCACTAACCTGAGCATGACATCAATCACCTACAAACCATTAAGTCCACAATTACTTTGTTCAAAATCTGCCATCCTCTATAATTTTTTTATTAATATCCATGTACTCTGGGACTGTTAGTCAGAATGTCACATTGATCGTGTTGTGTTTGCACATAACAGGATCAACACAATTTCAATGATCAAAGCTAACCCAGAACCAATTACGGAATTTCATGAAAGGTCGCAGAAACGCTTTTCTTTTTGGCAGTGCCCTCTTTGTGACATCGTAAGATATAAAGAAGTTTCATTTCCCAATAAATTTGGACTTTTCTAAATGTGATATGTGACCCATCATTCCAGAATTGCTGAAGCAGGTATACAGGTAATTTTGATAATAGATAATTCCTTTCCCCAATTCCTCCTTTCCATGGTTCAAAATGACACAGAATAAAACCTGTCTGCAGAAAGCTTTGGTAGTTACAGGCAAAACCAGTTGTAGACTTTGTTCTCTTCATGTGTATATGGGTGTTGTTTTCCATATAATGGTTTAAAATTATTCAGTCTAGTTTGAGAATGGTGGGTCACATGTCCTTGGGCAAGAACGCACCTGTTGTTCCTCATCCCAGACTTTACGTCCCTTCTTTCTCTTTTTGATTCCTTTCACTTTGGAATACTGCTCCCATCTGGTCAATGGCTTTGGTTTGGGTACCTGGAAAAGAACACATTCATTATAGTCAGTGGCATTTCAAGTCCACCACATTTTCTTCACAACTCTGAACACAGCTCCAGTATGTTGTATGATAGATTTTACAGAACAGGCAAGCACAGAGCTTGATGTGCACAGAAACTGTGTCGTTAGTGAGAACAGATTACCAGCTAAGTGCCACACATATTACCCTATTTGAGGCTGGTTGTCCACCAATATTTGCTAAGCACAGAAAACTATGCATTCCAGCATGGAATGGGCCAGGTCTGCCAAGTTTAAGAACAGCCAGGCAAATGTTATCCTCACAGGCTAAGCCCAGATCAGCTGACAACGGCAAGGAGTAACACTCTCATCTATGGCAAGTGGCTTCATAAGATAATAGGCTGCTTTAACGTTGACAGCTTCATATGTATGGAACTTACATGTTTTTCCCTTGGCAGATTTGTTGTTGGGTCCGGCATCTACAAAAAGCAAGAATGAATTTATTAGTGTATATTACGGAAGTTATCAGAGCCCTATGATATGCAGCCATTAACCATAACCGCCTAGGTCCTTTGTCTGAGGATACACCTTCAATCCTTCAAAATCCTCCGACTGCCCCCATGAAAAAAATTGGATGCAGCCTCAGTCCTCCAAAATCCTCCAATATTTCTTGATTGTGTTCTGTGGAGGGGTGCCCACTGCCTCAATCCTTTAAAATCATCTGGCAATTCCTCTCATTATGAGACAGCGTGAAGGGTATCCTGGGGCAGAATGGAAGATTTCACCTATAATGTGGGCATGAATTTATGCATGGCTGAACACAAACAACACAAGGTCTAACCCACAACCTTGAGACAATGCATCCTTGGCGATCCGCGATGCAATTTTGCCAAGCAGCCCCAATCCTCCAAAATCCTCCAAAACAACCTGGAGGATTTTGAAGGATTTGGGATTGTTAGGGTTGTAAGTCTCTTTAGCATTGAATTGATAGTTATTCTGATTAAAAAAAAATTGAGGATACTGACATTGGTTTGAAAATGCTACCACCATTATGAAAAACACTTGCCCTTCTGTCTCAAAATTGTGAGTGTCTGCCAGAGCCCTGTGTAGAACAGTGGCTAAGAGCACAGTTTGCTTGTTTGGAACGAGAAAATTTCTCCATCTGCACTGAGCCTGCAATGACTCAACTCTGCACAATTGGAAAGTTACCTTTGCAACAATTACGTCATCTATTCTCTCCACAGGGAGCTGCAACAGAAAGAAAAACAAAATAAAAGTAAACCGCAAACTTCCACAGACAGTCCTAAATCAAATGACAGAAAAAAAATCCCTAAACCCTCAGGGAAACTTAGAGGAAGACAGAACTTGGACTTAATTTGTCCATGAGAAAAATATTCCTCCAAGGGCACAGATATCCCCTCCAGAGTTTAAAGTTGAGTGCTTGATGGATGGAGTATGGAACCCAGGAAGTGGGGGTCACTGATTCAAAGCAAATATATCACACAAAGAAAGCCCCCAATGAAATCATGGCAAAAATTTTACAGTTTCATATTTCTATTGTTAGAACAAAACGAGAAAATTCCAAAGTCCGGTCTCGTATTAGATTATTTGGTGTGCTTGTAACAGAATTATGGGACTGCATTAAGCTGGAAAGTCTCTTCTTGGGGAATGAAACTCATGAAAATGAGGCCCTTAAAACCCAAATGTAGACAAAGCGGTGATTTGGAAGCCCCCTTAATAACCCATGGCTTACTCACCTTCCATATCTCGTTAAAAAGGAGTTGGGTGTTGTCTCTTGTTAGCGATGCAAGATATGAATCTCTGCTTTGTCTGAAATCAAAAGTTAAAAAAGTTACATTAAGTCACTTTCAACTAACACAGTACACTGAACAACAGTCCTGGCAAAATAACATTGGCTTGTATTTACATATTTGCTCTCCTATGCACAGATACATTCTTGACACAGTTGTCATATCAGTCAAAATCAGTCAAATTTCCCATATGTGTCTGAGTACTGGGGGAAATCAAGCGGAAGGAATTTTGGACTGTTTTTGATGGTTACAGCAGGAGGAGGGTTAATCAACTCAGATGTCAGACAACTTGTAGTGTGTTCTGACCTTATTTCATGAATCACTTTGATTGACATGGTATAACTCTTTCAGACAAAGAAGTTCACAGACTAGAGTGTTTCAAATATTATAAAAGTATGTTCTACTCCTAATTCTACATGAAAACTTTTAGTGAGAACTGTTCCCAGTGAGGACTGTTCTTAGTAAGGACTGTTCTTAGTGAGGACTGTTCTAAGTGAGGACTGTTCTTAGTGAGGACTGTTCCTAGTGAGGACTGTTCTTAGTGAGGACTGTTAAGCCCTAGTGGGTGTTTATTACCTTTAGTACCCTGTTCTTATAACAAGGGAACAAATTCTACTTTTTCAAAACAACTTCTAAACGAGTTGTGAGTAATGTCCTCTTTCTTATCAGAAAGAAAAGAGAACAGAACTTTTGGTTTTTTGAGGGAGATGTTGGGGTAAAACAGCAGCATACATGACTGTCTAGAAGAAGTGCGAACAATGACAAATATTGGTCATTAGCAAATGAAGTCTGGCTCCTTGACCTGGATGGAGATTTTTTGATGAATCCGAAATGGCTGAATCAGGAAACCAGACCAGGTAAATGACGTGATCTAACTGCATGGTTGTCTTTTGCTGAACTCGGGTTAGAAATCTGCAGTTTTCCTGCTTAAATATTGTCAAATGTTACCTAAACAAGGCCTATCTGGATTAAGTAATGGTTCCTCAATGTCAAAATATTAGTCTGAGAAAGTGGACCTCTTTCCTTATACTGTATAGGAACAGGGTGCTAGTAAAGGGGGGGGGTTGTGAATTTGGGGACCCTGTTACAGAAGGGAGACAGACATTTTAACTTTTAGATTCTGCTGGGTAGATGACTGTCACATCATGCTCAATAACTGTAAGGGTGATGTTGTGAAAAGAGGGCAGGGTTTTGAGTTAAATTATGAGGGGAAACTGTGGGTGATGGCAGAGTCAAATTTGCATGGCTGGTTTATCAGTAGCAAAGTCACATTTTCTCACAATGTACAATTTGAAATTTCAAAAAAAGAGAGTCAAGACAGTTCAGACATGTCAGACAGCGATGCCTCTGTTTTTTTTGGGGGGAATGACCAATTTTGCACAGTTTAAAATGACAAACACTAAGCTTGGGCATGTTGGGGGGGGTCTCCCAAATTCACAATCCCCAATAAAGGGGATGAACACCCCCAGTCTGCCAGTAGCCTAGGTCTGTTGGGCCGTTGGGCAGGGATCAGGTCAACTCGGACCCAAACCAACTCGGACCCATCCCAACTCTGACCCAGGACCAACTCGAACCCAATACTAACTCGGACCCACGACCATCTCGAACCCACAACCAACTCGGACACACGCCAACTCGGACCCACCTCGAGTCAACTCGGACCTACTGAGTCTTATGGTTGCACTACACCAAATACGCACCCGTAGACCAAAATAGCGCCAACTCTTGAACCTCGTGAAGAGGTTGGCCTTCATGTTTTTCGCTGGAAATTCAAGATTATTTTTACCTCTCGAAATTCAAGATTATGGCCAGATCGATCACTTTTCGTTTCAATTTTATGAACTTTTTTTATTTGCCTTTTCCCGAAGATCCCCCCCCCCAAATAGTAGTAAAACTATGCACTCAGCTCTGAATGTACCCACCCGCCTCTATCCAAAATAGGCCCACACTGGGGGCTTTTTGTGAAAGAAATATTCTGAACTGGAAACTATCAATCCCAAATTCGGGATTTATATAAATGATTCTATGATCCCTCGTAATTATGGCATGTCTTATTGTAAAAAAAAAATGTGGGATCACAAAATATTAATAATGAGCTTGCGAGCAGACACACAACGCTTCAAAACCGTCTCCAAGTTTAAGACAATAGGAAATATTCCACATTTTTATTTTAAATGATTTGATTTGTGTTGTTCGAAATTCAGTTTAGGCCTGTATGGATGAATTCCTCCATCTGCTTAAATCTTGCCGGTATTCTGGGGGGGGGGAATGGGACAAGACTTGCCAGGCAAAAAAAATTTGAAAAGTGAGGTGGGGGATAACTCCATGAGACACTATGAAAGGTCAATGTTCGTGACATTGATGCATATCTGCAGTATGTGTTGTACGCATGCAGCATCTCTTATGTACATCAGAAGGGCCTATTTGTGGCTTTTTATTGCAACAAAAACTTTTGTGGCTGTTTGGTGAAAGTTCATTCGATTTCTTTTGGTGATCTAGAGTGCCAAAAAAAACTTAGGAGAAAGGGCGTCAATGATTTGGTTCTGTCATTAGTGTCAATCACACTCCAAAAGCTGCTAGTGCTACCATTGGTTGTCCCAAGCTCCCACTCCCCGATCATAGGGTTTCAAGAATGGAAGGTGACAAAGTCAGTCCTTGTGGTCAATCACGCTGGTACCTCGGAAGCTAATAACCGATTAAGATTCCAGATTATAAGCGGCAGATAAGACATCAAAGGAAATGTGCCTCCACAAAAAATATGACGCTCGTCGGTTTCTTAACTTACTAATCACTTGTTCCAAGACATCACTGATATCAAATCTAGTCCTGTACAGTTTTCAACCACCATGCCTGTTTAAACTCAAAAACTGAGAAATTCTGGGAAGCCTGTGCCACTGTTTTCCTGTATTACGTGTAGAGAGGATGTTACATCTCGGCAGCATGCAGTGCAAAAGTGTCATTTACCAAATGCTACAATGTAAAAGTGGACAAAATCAAAATTTTCAACGAGTTAATCACGCTCCTGAGATTGGGTCCGAGTTGACTCAGGGTGGGTCCAAGATGGTCGAAGGTCCGAATTAGTATTGGGTCCAAGTTGGTTGTGGGTCCGAGTTGGTTGTGGGTCCGGGTTCGTATTGGGTCCAAGTTGGCATGGGTCCGAGTTGGTCGTGGGTCCGAGTTGGCATGGGTCC